TATATATATATATATATATATATATATAAATATAGTTTCATGGTTGTGTGATAGTCAAAAGGCTGGTTGAAATGACCGAGTCTGTATACAGAGTTAAAGATTTGGAGGTGAATTTACAAAGTTTTTACTGAGAATTTGAGTGCATGGTGGTGTTCATTTAAAGAATAGAAATATTTCTTTTCATCCTAGTTTTTATATTTAGTTTGCAAAATCTCTAAAATCTCCAATTTCAATATCAAATGTTTTACAGTAAAACTTCACATTTTATCTGTTATTTTGTGTACCCTAACACTAGCTATAGCTACACCATCAATGTACTTGGAAATGAAGAGAATATTATGAAATAAAATTAACATTACCCTTTTTCTTCATTTTTCAATGCATAATCTTTTGCCATATCCTCAATTAATGATATTTATAGTTTCATCTGTTAAACTTTTCACATCTGTTTACTTTTAATTTCATGGTTTTATTGCCTGGATTACACCACATAAGTAATCTACTCATCCATAAATAGCCTGTCTTGGCCAGATGGTTAGAGTGTCCGACTTCTAATCTGTGGGTCACAGGTTTGAATCCCTCTCCCACCAAGCATGCTCACTCTTTCAGCTATGGTGGCATTATAATGTGACCATCAGTCACACTATTCATTGGTAAAAGATTTGGCAGCAATTGGCAGTGGTTAGGTAGGATGTTGAAATTGAATAATTAACCGTTTCATTATTTATAGCTTTTGTTTATCTTAGCTTGACACTACAGAAGACATACTACTAAAGTTAAACTTAGGAGTGATTTCACATCATGTAACAACATGAGTGAAGATTTAGAGTGTTTTAAATATTCCTTTTGAAATTAAGAAACTAAAACTTGGATAACATAAAAATGGAATTGTAAGTTACATTAGGATGCCAAGTTTATAAACAAACATTTATAATGAAGTTATTTAAGAAAGAGTTAAGTGGCTTTCACAGAAACATTGTTGCCATACTTCACAATAGGCTAGTGAAACATAGACAAATAGTGACATTTTTTACAATATTCTTTCCACTTTTGCTAATGAACTTTGTTTTTCTTTTTTGAAGTGAACTTGAAGTTGCAAATCACCAAAGCTTGGTCTGTCAGAAAGATGTAATACTTGTAGACCTATTAAACATGCATGATAATACTCGTGCTTCCTTACAGATTTTTTAAATTCACAGTATTCCTCTTCATTTGTCCATTAAAGGTTTATGTGACTTGTGACAGACAAGATGGATCATAAATGCTATCTTATTCACCTATATATTGATGTATTGGAAGTACAGCTACTTAAGTTGCACAAATACTTCAATTTTTTTAATCAACAAATATATACGTAATGACAGAAATGTATAAGTAATCAGTTTTTTGGTATTTATAACATCTAAATTAATAAACATTGAATAAAAATAATTTTGAAGTTGTAGGTTTAGCAGTATTACATTGTTTTCCTGTATATCAATCATTCATTTTCTGATCTTATACTACAGCAACTTAATCCATTATTAGTGTGTTGATGTATCCTGCTTAGTTTGAGCCAATTAACATTTGTTTCCATTGTATGGTTGTTGTTGAGAATTTTTAATTTTTTACAGTTCAATTTACCAAAAAAAGAATGGTAACTATAGTTTTTATTAAATATTTTAAGAGAATTTGTCATTGCACAGCAAGACTGAACATACTGACTGGTTAGACCCAGTTTTTGTACTTTAATGTTTATGGTTAGGTCTGTTGCTTTTGTGTTTAGAACTAGTTAACCCACAGTTAATTTTTAAGGTATATTGGCAAAGAATACAAGATTTTGTAAGCATATTGAGTGGTTGGTTTGTCCAATAATGTGTTTTTCATATGACTTTCTGTGTTAAAAAAAACTTATTGTGTTGCATGTATTAACAAATATATATTACTTCTTGTTTGATTCCTCCTAGCTCTTTGATATTTTGTTATGTCATAGAAGTTCACAAGTTTATGGTTGGTGTTAATCACAAAGTCAGTAATGACCAGGTTAATTCCTTTTAATAAAACTAATATTTCAGATATGCTTCTTAAAATTATATAGTAAGTTTCTTAGAAGGTACATGTTAGAAAAAGTGAATTATCTCTCACATTTTCTTTTTTTTCTATCATAGACATGAGACTGATGCATGGTGACGAACTGAGGCTGCGCTATCTTGGAGAACTTCACAAACCATGGTCTGGTGTAGGGCATGTGATCAAGATCCCAGACAGTATCTTTTAAAAAGTGTTGCAATATTTTATAAAATTTTGTTTTGAACTAACAACAGAATGAAAATAGCTCTTTGTAATTCATATATTTGTAGCTTTTGTCATGTATGTTTTTAATGTGAGTGAATACCAGAAATATTCAAAATTAAGTGAAGAAGAAACTGTAGTTTTAATTTTTATACGATATCTGTGTCATTGAGAAAAAAATTATTAAAATAGTTAGACTAAAAATTTGTAAATAAAAGGAAGTTTTTTGCTCCTTTACTGACTTACCAAAAGATTACAGTGAAGAAGTTGGTATTGAGATGAAAACAAACTTAGGACTCCCTTCTGAATGTACTTCAAACTTTGTAGTGGATTTTGTTTGGAAATCAACATCCTTTGACAGGTAACTAATTGATTTAGTGTTTTAGTATACTTTTTTATTTTTTAAGTTTTCTATATTATCTAATGATAAGTTTTTACTAGCATATTTTTCTATTTAAAATTTTATAACTATTTTTATGTGAAAAATAATGGTGTTTCACACTGTTTACTTAAGGGTTGAACTGCATATGTCATGACCTTTTACAGAGTTAACTTCAAAATTTAAATAAACAACTGTTATTAATGTGTGTTAATAAGCTTGACATCAAATTGTAGTTCGTAATTCATATGCATATTTGAAATAAACAAATTATTTTGTAGTTTGTCTTTGATGGAAAAGTCTTGAGTCCAGATGTAAATACTACATTGCTTGTTTTTTTTATGTATGTTTTTTATTATTGTTATAAATGCAACTAAAATGTACAAATTTTAAACTTACTAGCTTAGATAAGAAAACATAAAGAAAAAATTGTTTCTTGATACTTGATAGTCTTACAGTTGAGGCAACCATGTACATGTAGCATGGCATGATTGTAATTGAATGCATGTTCACACAAAGATGTCCTCTCTGTGATAACTGGTTTTAGCATAATCTGTAAAGGAACAAAACTAAATGAAATCTGATGTTAGTAAAATAAACTTTTACTTAAAGCACTTTTACAATTAATTTAGGAGGTTCTTTTGTTTATGCAAATTGAATATGAAAACAGTAAGAAGAAAGACATATTTTATTCTTAGCATAGTAATTACATTTCACAAATACTTTATTTAAAAAAAATTATACAACATACTGTAAATGTATACTAAATTTTTGCCAAATTTCTTGAAGATATATTTAGAAAATTCAGAATTATATTAAACATTACTTCAATGTGGTGTTGATCCAATGGATGGACACTGTAAACAGTGTGCTAAATAGTGAAATTTCAAAAACGTGGGATGTTTCTGTAATGCCTTATAACTGGAAATGTTGTTATAAGATATGTATGTTGATTTGTTCATGCTAAAATTACTGAATATTTTTATTTTCTGTATTATACCTATAACAGTTATAACTGATTCTTTAAAAATAACAGATGAAAATATAAATATAAATTAGGATTGTTAAGATTTAAAAAAAACTATATTTATAAAAGACCATGAGTCAAAAGATTCAATTAAAATCTTTACAGTTAATATCACCCACACTTTGTATTGTTATTATAAATAACTTCTGATTAAATGTAATTATCTTTATAAATATAAGGTGAAAACATAACCCAAAAAATTTTGAAAATACTCATATACAACAAACTCCAGAAGTACGTAATGTTGTAGATCAATAAACAAGAACTAACACTTGTTAGAATGCAATGATCCATCACTTGGGCATCCTTGCTGATATGAATGTTTCTTACTGTAATTCCAATAACACCTTGCACAGTGTGGCCTGCTCAGGAGATCTAGGTTATTTCAAAATTGATATACTGTTAACGCTAACAGTACAAAAGTTTCATACGTGTCAAAATGAAAAAATAATTCTTAATATTCAAAACATACTTTAAAGATAAATAATTTGGTTTAGTATAAGTCCTATAATTAAAATAACAAAAATACTGCTATGAGGATAAGTTACAGACCTTGCTATAAGTAATATGTACAAATAAAGTAGCAGCCATACCTATCATACCCGAGATCAAGTTAAGGAGCAGGATGCTAGAAGTGAGAAATAAATAGCCAGACCTTTAGAGCTTATTAAAAAAGAGAGGGTATATTTACCTTCATAAGTTATCACATAAACACATTGACTTGTGTAGAATTATACAGACTTTCTCTATGTTAAAATACTTTCATTTGCAAACTTTTGTTCCTCTTACTGGAGCCTTCATTGGGCAACAATGTACTGAGCAATAGAATTTATTAAGTTATTGAAAACTACTATAAGATAGGTATGTAGGCAACAGTCGTAACAAAAACTAACACCTGGTATTAAGGTTATTAAACACACAGAATTATGATGAATATAGAATCTAAATGGATTGCTTTGATATAATAAACATAAGGAAAAGACAGTCACAGGTATTATATAGAGAAACAAAAATAAAGGAAGTTTTCAACTTCAAATAATACATTGTAAAATTAATAGTTTAATTTTACACTGAAACCACGACAAATAATGTTTTATGTCTTTTATTAGTGGTGTCCATGCTGGTAGCTTGCAAATAAAAGTATTTTAATGTAGAGAAAAGTCTGTGTATAATTCTACATATTATTTTATCTACGTTATGAGTCTTAATTAAATATCAACAGTCGTAAAAACAACAATTATTGGTAATAAAAGATATCAATTTATATAAAGGTTAAGGTACATTATATTATAAGCTGTATAACTTAAATAGCTAGGTAATGTTAATGGTTGTCCAATGTATTCAGGTTTTTCATTATTTTTGTATTAAGAAATTGTAGCTTTGAAAATTTTTTGCTATTTAATAAAATTCATAATCTTGCAAGGGGTACAAGAACAGTGTAGAATTTACTACAATATTTTGGTTTTAATAATACAGATGGAAAACCTCCTTTGTGGAAAATAATGAGTTTATTTGCCCTGTTTACAAAATATATTACAGTTGAACAAATTCTGTAGCAGCTACTGAGCTATGAGGAGAAAATACTGTAGCACAATTTATCTGAAATATTTGTATTATGAAATAGTAGAACCTTGAAATCAAAATTTTATTTAAAGTTTTGAGCTTGATCATATGATTAATGATATATATATGTCCAGCTAATGTGCATTCATTATAGTGAAATGACATTTTTTTCCATAGCAAGTTCTAGTAAATAAGTTTTAATTAATTGTCAAGAAAACCTAGAAATGTTTGTAAAATAATATTGTCAGTATACCTTCAATCACAACTTAATGTGCAAATTTATTCCAAAGTCTTCCATATTAAAGTTTGTTTAGAATTAAAAATTGAAGTTTAAATACATTCAAATCAGCAACTAGTGAGCTTAATTTGTAGTCTATAGATATTCCCCTATCTTTCCTGAAAGACTTGTTGGCCCACATTGTAAAAATGTTGTGAAGTAAAAAGAGTACATAACATGTATGAATTTATTGGGTGTAAAACTGGTATTTCAATAATTTATGTTACTACAGAAACACTTCTTAAAAGATTTTGATATTGTTAATGAAACACTTTTTTATATATTTTGAATACTAGGAAGATGTATAAATATTACAAAATCAAAGGTTTTAATTGTTTTTTATTTAAATCTTTAATTTTCTCTTTGCATTCAATTGAATTATTTCTTGTAGTTATCAACCATGTCATCAGTCATCACAGCATAGTTTTTATCTCTGTGATTTTCTAAGAAATTTATGACATCTGGTTTGAATGATTTCCAGGCAGCTAGTTTTTTTCTGAATTATTACTGTTTCAAAATTATTATCTATCAGCACTTTCCAAATAGTCCAGTAAAGATACCTCCTTTCATTTTTGGAAACTTGTCAGACAGATATCTGAAACCATTACCATCCTTGTTCAATCCTTTTGTAACATTCTTCATGAGTCCCGGTTTAATATGAAGTGGGGGCAGAAACACATTCTGAGGATTAAATAAAGGTTGATACTTGATATTCTGTTTCCCTGGTATGTAATTTCTCTCTCACTGGACATTCTTTCTTTTTGAAATGATTTTTATCATCTCAGCTGTCCCAGAGACAAAAAGCAACAATGTTTGGTATACCCATTCTGCAAGAGGGCAATAAATTCTAGATCACCACATATGTTCCACTTATGGTAATCACATTTGATGGTCTCAAGCATAATCTGCATGCTTTGATAAGTTTCTTTCATGTTCACTGCATGAGAATCAGGAATTTATGGCTTAGTGTTCTCATTGTACAAAAGTACAGCTTTCAGACTAACTTTAGATGAGGCGATGAAATGTCTCCATTCTTGAAGATGATGTTCAGTATCTAATTCTTCCATTGGTGCATCAACATTTGTATAGAAACACAAAGTATCTTGCATGCTGTAGTGAGGAGCAAGACTTTGATGGCGACTTTGGTAAATTGAACCTCTTGTTTCTGGAGATAATAAATTCCATTGCTGTAACTGAAAGCAAAGAAGTTCCCCATGCTGCTTTGATAGAGACAAGTCACAAATCAGATCATTTAGCTCTTCTTGGGTGATCAGATGAGGCAGTTTATATTGAGGTGCCACAGGAATAGAATTACTAGGTGAAGAGGATGAAGATGATTCATTATTTTCTTTGCAGGTAAACTCTTCTGCTGGTGGATGTGGTACTGGAAATCCATCCCCATAGGGTACTGGTTGCATTACAGATGCAATATCTTGATATTGAATGTATTGTTTAGTTTTAACTGAATGTCCAGAAACATTAGTCATGCAAAAATAACAGTCAGTTAGATAATCTTTGGGCTCACATCATATTGTGGAAACTGCAAATGGCATACGTAAACTCTTATTAGCGAGATGTGCAAACTGTACAACATATATGTGGAGCCCAATTTTACACCCAAAATAGTGGTAATAAGCTACCTTTACCTTGTATGTAATGTTTTTCCTTCATGAAACTGTAATATATTTTCCACAAATGTAGCAGAAACTGTTTGGGGGATTTTTGCACATTTGGAGTCAGCCAGCACTTCAAATGATTTTCCAAAAAATATAAAGTAATTTATGTTTACAAAAATAGAGTTTAAAAGATTTTACAACACAGTTTTGCAGAATTTGATTATGTCACTGGTATGATGCAATGAAGAAAACCAGACTTTGTTTTGAATATGCACAGAGTGAGGCAAAGTGACCAACTGAGTGAGTGAGAGGCATATTGTGCCTGTTGTTGAAAAAATGAAAGGTAATCTAAAAACCAGTTGTTTGGTGCATATATTCTCTATGGCTTTATACAAAAACTCAGAAACAACAACATTAATTTATGTGTAAGAAAGCTGTTACATGTTTGTCTTCTCTAGTTATTTCTAAAACATTTGAGAAGTGAGTTGAAAAAGAAGCATTATATGTCCTAATATTTAAAATATAATTATGTTTTTTATTCTAGAATGCAAGCAGCTTTAAGAAAATTTGCTGTGGATGAGACCTGTGTGTCTGCATATGTTTACCATAAACTTCTAGGACATGAAGTTGAGGATGTCATCTTGCGTTGTCAATTGCCTAAACATTTTTCTGCTCCAAATTTACCAGAACTGAATCGTTCTCAAGTATATGCAGTAAAACATTCACTTCAACGACCTCTTTCCTTAATTCAAGTGAGTTGAAAAATTTATATTTCTAAATACTGTCGAGGGAGTTTCATTTTATCGTTATAAGTTTTAAACATCTAGTTCAGTGAATCCATCTAAAAAAAGTTACAATTATATTGTGCTTATAAGTTTTGTACATTTGTTTTTGTGATTATACATTATTAAGTTTTGAATTTTTTACTATTAATGTATTTTTTTATACTCGCTGAAACTGTAGTGGAACAACATGATTTGTGATGATGTTTATAAGCCTATTGAAGATATTTTGGGAAACTCCTATAGTTTTAGATTACATAGCCACATTTTTGAACTTAAATTATCATAAATTCTTTACAACCATGAGTTATTTAATTAACATTTCTTTTAATACTTTTATTTTACTCTTAGCCTTTAATACAATCTAGCATATTCATGTAACAAAGAGTAAAAACACTTTTACTGAGGTTGATTATGGTTAACTAATTTCACTTAGTACTATACTGTTATTTTAATTTTACTGAAAGGTTTTTGTACCTTATTTTTCTAAAGTTGTGTATTCTCTTTACCCTATTTGATATTGGCTTCCTATTGAAATTCTGTTCTTTTGTGTTCCATTACAATAAAGGCTTCCTGATCACATGATCGTGATGTCTTTAGTAGCTTATAATGGTAAACAACTGCCATTTTGAGACTCTCAACAGATACGATTATGATATTCACCAAGAACTTTTGTTTCTGTTATAAATCTTTGAACCATTATGGTGCAGAAACATACAAGAATAAACTGAAAACTGTTAAAGTTGATCCATATATTATCGATAAAAAACTATATGCTTTCGTTGGTCTCTTTTATCCATTAAATTTAATTTTTTAATAAGGCAACTCATTAACATCCAAGATTTTTTTAGTATAAAACATAACTTGTATGTAACTGTATTATTTCTTTTTTAAAATAATTTAATGCTGCACTTTTTGAAATGTTTATTACTGCCAATTTTCATAGTTTTTATAATATTTCTTTTGTTACATATTTCTCTAAATGGCTTTAAAGTAATTAGAAGTAAACTGAAAATTTAAAGAAACTTCCAATCAGTTACAGTATGGTGAAAGAGTTATGCTAAACAATAACTGTTTATAAACTCATAATTAGTGCTTCTGGAAATGGTACTTTTCGTTCCCATGTTATCTAACTGCTCCTTGATCTTTACCATTATTAAATATTACTTTTAAAGTATTAAATATCACCTTTATAGTGAAAATATACAGAAACATATGCAGTTACTGTACTTGCTGTATGTCTAGTCGGAAAATCTCATATTTTATCCATTTCTATAAAGTGTTAAGCCATATACTGTACATAGTCTGCTTTCTCATATCTCATTTTTATATGAGTTAAGTGATGTTTGTGACCTGAAATACTAAAATATACAACACTAATTGGTATGAAGTGTTTAATCGCTAAATATATCCTGTTCCAGGTATCATTTGTGGTTAACATATTTAATTTGTTTTTATATCTGGAGCATTAATGTATGGTTTTGCTGAATGTAAGAAAACCCATAAACCTGTGAATTACATGCCACATACTCATGTTGATCAACTAGGTAACATATACTCCTGTTTAAGAAAGGTAATATCTTTGTTATGAATTTAATTACACATGTACTTACTCGATGATGAGGAACCTACTTTGAGAGCTAATAATGGTTGGAGACGGCTTGAATGGGTAATGAAGAAAAACTTTAATGTAAGTTTAACATAACAGCAAATGTACAACTTTTCAACAAGGTTTTGTCATCATCAGGTCAAAATGTTGTACATTTGCTGTTATGTTAAACTTATATGAAAATTTTTCTTCATTACCCATTCAAGCTGTCTCCAACCATTATTACACCTGTACTTTGTATATGTTTTAGAAGTATAGATGTGAATACTTGGTTTAATAGATAGATAGGCCCTTATTACTTGATCAGATATGTATAATCCTATGATGTTACTGTTATAATGTATTGCCTCTTGTATTCAATTGTAAGGTATTCATATTTCAGGGGTTAAGTATTAATTTCATTAACACATTTTAAAAATAAAGGAAACTGTTAAATATTTATTTCAGAAGGTTAAAATACCTCTTTCCAGTTTCGGTGTCAGTTTATACATTCCATTTATGGCTTTTTGTAAGTTTTCTGTTTTACTAGATTCAAATTGTAACTATGACTAGAATCTCAGTTGTTCTGTGATTAGAAATATTGATGAGTTTATTCAGAACTTTTAAAACATAATAATAAACCTTTAAAAGTATTTTAAAGATGAACACAAATATGCTTTTAACATTACTTAAGGTATCTGATAAAATGACAGTCCTGGGTGTTTGTTAGATTTGTTTTCACACTCACCGATATAGAAAGGTGAGGCACATTGCTGGGTAAAATAAAATTGTACTTAATATATTTTATTATATAAAATCTTAGACTAATGTTCAAATACATGACCTAATATCTATATTTCCTTTTGAAACATATAATTAATTATTTTTTGTGAACTTATAATTCATAATACAATGTAAACCATTTTATAACATAACCATTTACTATGCCATTTTGCATGCTTTAAGTGAAGGCTAACTGATAGTGTTGATGCGTAGATGAATGGTTACTCTAAGGACCATACGTTAGGCCACTTTGTTAAAAGAAATGATTCAGATAGTACTTATCTCGCTTGATGGACATATAATAATTTATTTAGCAGTTGTTGAAAAACAAAAATGTCATAGTTACATTTATACGAGTGGTTGCCAATCATAATAAATGAGGTTCACCATCTTCTGGTAATGTCACTTAAGAAGTCTCTGTAGATTAAAAAGGAGGAGGTTCTGTCATTTCTCTAGGTGATTCAGTGTATGCCAAAATTAATTCAGAAAGTTTTGAGATATTTTAGTGAAATTAATTGTTTGTTGTTTGAATCCCCATGAATTTCATAACTTCAGTGATAAACCATTAGTAATGAATTGTGTAGTTAAATATTCAACATTTTATGTTTTAAGATCTTTAAGCTATAAATCTTATGCTGAACCAATGCTTTAATATGGTACTTCTGTAAGAAAAAATATATCTGATATCAAATATTTTTCATTTCGTTGACATAGGGACCACCAGGTACAGGTAAAACTGTTACTTCTGCTACTATTGTTTATCATCTGATGAGACAAAACAATGGTCCTGTTTTGGTATGTGCTCCAAGCAACATAGCTGTCGACCAGCTAACAGAAAAGATCCATTTCACAGGATTAAAGGTTGTCCTTTTTGAAAAGATATCAGTTGTTAATGATATTATTTCAAAGTAGTGTTACTAAAGAAATATATAAGACATGAAAAGTCCACTAATACAAAGTTTTGATCTATAATTAAATAATAATAGTCCTGTTTCATTGGACATTTCTGTTGGAAAAATAAATGATATTCTGAGATTTCATGCATGATTGGAACTTTTTTTTATGGCTAGACTTTAATATTCTTTGGAGTCCTTCAAAACATTTTAGAATTGTATGTTCAAGTATAAGTTATTGAAATTTTTTCATTATAAAGACAAAACACTTTTTGGATTGTAAACCTATTATTGCATTTTCTGAATAACATAAAATATATTGTTCAGGTAATAAAATATCCTGCTCAGGATTGTAAGTTAACTGAAAATTAATATGTATTGTCAAAATATTAAACAATTAACCTTCCCACTGAGGGCAAGCCAAAGTGTGTATGTCGTAACTTTTTAGGGAGTTATATTCAAAATTTAATTAAACTACTTTATTATAATGGTATACTTGGAATAAAAATGTTGTTAATAAATCAAGTTTTAACATTATTTAAGTTTTAAGTTCTTTATTTCATAAGGAAATATTTTAAAAACATCCTCAATCTCACCCTAGTATGAGAATTGTGATATTTGCTCTGTAGATCTTCCTTCTCTAATCTACTTACCACCCTTCCTGGAAGTATGAAATTTAACATAAATTACTCATTATACTATCATCGTCACTCAAGCAAAGCATAATTTTCATTGCCTTCAATCTTATTTGGTTATAGAGCCATAAAATAGAAAATCAGACCCCTCTTGCCATGCTCACCAGTCACTTCCTCTCTTTCAGAAATTCTCAATTGTTCTCTCTGACATTTAATACTGTATTATTTATAACTAATAGAAAGCTAAAGTTTTAAATTATCAAATGATGTATTATATTATATTGTTTTCTGTACATAGCATTATCTATTTTACTTCCAGGTCAAACTTTATTCCCATGGGAAACACATTGATGAGCTTAACTGAATGTTTAACTGCTTTTATCGCATAGTTAGAAAGCCAGAAAAATTATGAGTTATAGGATATTCTCTGTTTTGTATGTGTTATTATTCTGTGTTCTTTTGTGCATTACTTCGTTAAATAAAAAATGTATTTAGTGTAGTAGTACCATTAGTATAAAAAGTAGGGTTAAGTTTCAACAGTCAAGAGAAAAAAAAAAGATCTGGATAAGTATTGTATTTGTTTTTCATGTGTATTCTTTATTTATTATTATAAAAGTAACTCATATCTAAAAATTAGAAACCTATTAAGTTAGAGTAGGTAGGATAAAGAAAATATATAACTTTTTTTTTGCAGGGTATGCTTATGGAGTAGCTCATGTTTGCCAAGTGATTTACAACTTGTGTGGTGGGATTATTAGTTAGTGTTCTGATGAAATAAAACAATACAATTTAAGAAAAAAACAGTTGTATACTGCTACTAGCTTTAAGCTATTTAGGATAAACTAGCCTAGTTTCTTGTTATAAATTGAAATCATTCTAGAAAGAGTGTAATTTAGATTTATTTCATTTATTTATAAGATCAATCAAAGTAACTGACCTTGTTTAGTTATTGTAGAGAAAATAATAGATAAAATATAAAGTTTTAATGAAAAAACGTTTGAAATTTATTTAGGAGGCTTCAGAGATTACTCAAATGAAATTTGACAATTATTACATGAGTAAAATATTTTTTAATCTTACATGAAAAACAATTTGTACATAGAACAGTCAACACTTTGACTTCATATATTCACAGAGCAATTTTTAGTAAAAATACTTTTAAAAATTTTGAATTTTTGTGTATAAAAGACTTGTAATGCTCACTGAAAGCTTCCAACATTTTGTGAAGATACATAACATATATTAAAAGTTATAGTGTGGAAACTCTGAACGTCAAATTGGGGCCAAGACTTAGGTCAAATCGACTGAGCCTGTAGCTAGTGAGTTAACCTTATGGACATGGTCTTGGTAGTTATCATTTACCCCTGTATCTGTGAAACCATACTTAGCAATGATTGCTATTATTCCAAATATGCTTAGTGTATTTTTATGAAATTTGGTAAGCTTTTAGTAAACATTATGGATGTTTTGTATACACACACACACACACACACACACACACACACACACAACTAAATGAGTTAATTTTAAGAAGTTTACTAAATTATTTAGTAAATTACGTTAAGGCAGTCTAGTA